AGGCACTTAACCTTTCTGCACCTCAGTTTCTCCATTAGCAAATTGGAGACAATAGTGTCTACCTCACTGGGCTGTTGTGAGAATTAAATGAGCTGATGTGTGTAAAGTGCGTGGTGCAGTCCCTAGGACAGAGTTAACAAGTGTCAGCTACTGCTGTGTACTCACTACTGTAATTCACTTCCAGCTCAGTAATCAAGACACAATCCTCATTAACCACAGGATAAATTCGAGTTCTGTTTTTCACTGACCTTTACAGTGGAAGCGCCCAGCAGCCCCTTCCAGGCCTCTCATTCATTTATGCACATGGCCTGTGAGTCCAGCCCCTGCACCCTGCTTCATGCTGTCCCCCACCTTGCATGTCCACACCCTGTTTCTCTGCTTCTCTAATTCCCTTCAGTGTGCGCAGCTCCATTTATGAGACTTGACTCAGACGCCAAAGCCTACCTAGGGGGAGACCTGATTTTTCCTCCACCATTTCCAGCATATAAGCCCGTGGAGGGCAGAACTGCTTTATTTGCTCCAGATGCTGAGAGCCAGACTGGTGCAGCACTTGGTCAATTTTTATTGAGCGAATTTGTTGTCAGAGAGAAACTTCTCCCATCTTGGCTTTATTAAGATGAAAGACTCTTTATTATGGTTTTCTTGGAAGAAAAAAAAAAAATCAAAGACATAAGCCCTGAAACAGCTACAGTTTTATATAGAAAGCATTATTTTTGAGCTAAATGATTTTTTTCCTGAAGGAAAATTTAGAAATTATAGCTCCTGGTGGAATTAAAGGAATGGAAATGAAGCCATGCACAGATTCACAACATCTGAAGAACTCTGTTTTGAACCTATTTTGCTAACTTCTATAACTCCGCATAAACAATTCAAGCTTCTGGGCCCAGTTCAGCTTCGCAGTAACACATGCCCCTCGGGCAGCTCTACAAATTGCCTTTCCTTCCTAGATTGAGTTAGATATTTGCCTTAGAAGGTGGTAGCTTCTCTGAGAATGTCTATACAAGCTGATACTTTTGGTTTTTCACTGGCAAAGAAATTCCTTGATTTAAACCAAAAAGGTCTTACAGATCATTTGGAAGTAGGGGTACAGGGAGATAACCCTTTCTTCCCTCTTTCAATGGGCCAACCCTGCCCTTCTCTTCCTCTGCAAAGGTCAAAGTGGCTCAGTGGCTTTGGATATGTGTGTGTATGTGTGTGTGTGTGTGTGTGTGTGTGTGTGTGCGCTAGTGTGAGTCCAAATAATGTGTGCTCCACTGGGGAAGAGGGGCCCTGAAGCTGGCTGTGGCTATGGACCAAGCAGGGTAGCTTGCAAATGCTCCCTGCCATCACCTTGGGGTCATGTTATCTTCTAGTGTCCTGTGGATTCCCCCTGCCCCATCTAAGTTGGTTCCTTTTCTTTTCTCCTAGGCTTCCAGATTAAATTTAGGCATTTCTTATATTATCAATTAAACATACACTGAGTGGAATCAGATTCATTTCACTCATTTTGGAGTGGAGCAACTGTGCAAATGATAGCAACAGCTTAATTGATAACAACATTTCCCCCACAAACCCTGCTTCTCATGATCTCTCGAAAAACAAACATGTTGTATGGGATAAACTCTGAGTTTAACCCTCAAATCAGGGAGCACTTTCTGAGTCCTTTATACCTGATTCTCCCGTCTTTCCTGCCTCCATCTTTTCAAGCTGTTTCCTCCTCATGGAAATCTCTTCTGACTCCATTCATGTCTAATTTTTAACTCTGGTCCTAACACAGCCAGGAACCTTCTCCAAAAACTAGCGTCATAATCTAGAGGTCTCTAGACTTGTTAAATTGGGCAAGAGCTGCTTACTAGAATCACTCACAGGCTTTCAGAAGATTCACATATCCAGGTCCCGGTCCTATAGACTCTGATCAGGGGATCTGGGCGCTGTAGTTTTAAAGGCTCCATAAGCAATTTTACTGCCTGGGTTAAGAATAGAGGCCATGTCGCATACTGCAGTGCCTAATTGCTCTTCAGTTGTTCTTGTGGTTGTCCTGTGGTCAGAAAGCGAGCTGAAGATGGGCGTTTTATGCAGCCTAGCTAAGTTCCGGGCACTCCATGTCTTTAGCATTGTAACACTGTCATACCCACTGATGGCTCCCAACTTGATGTACTCAGCCCAGGGCTGAGCTCCAGTCTTTTATAGTCACGCTGACTGTGAAGTCGGAACTCTGCCCCAAGCTGCCTCTGTACATCACCCTATGATGCTGATGCTGGAATTCTGCAGATGTTGTCTTTCCTTTGCCCACTGGCTTTGTTGTGTTGTGCTACCAGTGGATTCCAGAGAAATCCTGGAAGCCTGGAGGGGGAGGAGGAAAGTCCTCTGTTCAACGCTCTGGATGGCATCGAGGAAGACTTCTGGGCGGTGGCAGTACAGCCCCGGCTGTCAGTTTCCTGCTTTACCTCTACAGTCCTAGAAGCAGCCCCGTGGAGGCCCCTCATGCACACCAGTGTCAACTGGACAGTGACTCCTCCTCAGACATCTGACTCCCGGCTTAGAGCCCCTTCTCTAGAGCATCTGCCTCTAATAATCCCACCCTTTTTCTTTCCTCAGTTTCCCCAGTCCTAGGGGTGATAGTGGCTCCTGGCAGTTGTTCTCTTTTGTTATCCAAATGCCTTTTTCTGTCCTCAGTCCATTTAATGAATCTCCAATATTCAATTCTATCTGTTAAAATAACTGGTGGGGTTTCAGTTTCTTGACTCCATCCACTGATGTATTATCCATATGCCACTATTAGATTCTACTCAGCTGTCCCTCAAGCACTTACACTTCATCCACCCAAAGCACAATCTGTGGTTTCCTTGAGACATGTTTGTTTTCCCCTATCAGGTTGCAAGATCCACTCAATGCTTACAGCTAAGTATTGGGCATTACTCTTTTTGTTTTTGGTACCACAAATCAAACTTGGGACCTTGTGCTTGCCCAGCAGGTAGTGGAACCACTGAGCTAAGCTACATCCGCAGCCCTTGAGCATCACTCTTGATTCCTCTCTCTTGTTCATTCACACACACGTCATTGGTTAGAGAGGGTTGGCAGTTCTACTACGAATTCCTTCCCAGCCTGGCTGACCATGCTTTTCCTAGCAACCCTCCTGCCTTTTCTCTTGGCCCTCACATCTCCTTTTCCACAGAAGCAAAAGTAATTCTACTGAAGATAAATACGGGTGTGACACTCTCTTGTGTCATCTCCTTCCTGAGCTTCCTGAGGTGCTCACCCTCTGTGATGGCCCACCGGTCTGCTGGGGACATTTATATATTCCTTGTTTTATGTATGCCAGGCTCTCAGTGGCATACATTTTTTAACATGCCAAATCTTTTCCTGCTTCAGGGTCTTGGCATCTGCTGCTTTTCTGTCCAGAATGCTTTCTTCTTCTGCACATATGTACTGGATTCTTCTTACTCTTGAGGAAGTGGATTTAAGGTCACCTCTTTGGGGAGTCCTTCACTGACACCCTCTTCAGAATTGACACCTTCCAGTTCCATACTGCTTTCTTTGCTAACATTTCTTCTCATTTTCAGTCATTGTGTGTTCATACCTTTACTTACATCATATTTTCTACTCATTAGACTACAAGATCTGTGGGGCAGGAAATGGGTCTGTTTGATTCACTGCTGTGTTCCCACAGGTAGCATTATAGATGTACTAATGAAAGAATGAATCTAGAATGGGTATCAAAAGAAAAACAGAGGGGCAAGAAAACTACCATTAATGTAGCTAGCAGGTGTCCTACCACACAGAGATATTCTCAGACTCTGCCGCTAGTTATCTGTTCCTGTAGCCATAGATTCTTCTCTGAAGAGAAATTGTTGAGAGTTGTTGAGCTATGTGGATATACAGAGAAATTATTACTCAGTGTGGTAGGGTATATTTGTAAATTTATATCTACCAGCCTCCTGGTTATATTTAGCATACCTATACATGTACCAATATACATATATGTCTTCACCTCAGGGACAGTCCTGAGATTGGGGTTTCTATGTGACTCACAACTTTAGAGACCAAATGATAGGCAGGGGTTTCTGTGCTGTGTAGAAGTCCCTGTTACATTTGATAGAATTCATTCTTCAAGAATCCATTCTTGAAGAATCCAGCTTGAAGGCAGGTTTCTGTGTTCTCTAGGGAGGCAAGATCAGGGTGCTACAGCTTATTTAATTCTGGTCTAATCCTCGTTGGTGCCATGAGTAGATGTGATCATTATAATGCAACTTCATGCACTTAAAGTTTTTTAAGTTTAATTTCATTTTAGTTTATCAATAGTAAAATCCCTGCTGGCATGTCATTTAAGTTGCTCCCCATGCTAATGATGATTCTGAAGCTTTTTACAGAAATGATTATCTGGTAATACCGAATCTGATAGTGGATTCAAGCTATCATTTATAGTAATAGGATCATAACAAAGCTCCCTGGGGTAACTGTTCTTGTAATACTGTAATGTAGCCAGGAGTCTATGGCTCCTCATTTGCTCAGGGGCACAGAGGAAGTGAGGAGAAGAGAGAAGGCACATAGGTTTTATGGCCCAGAGGCATACTGCAGAACAAGGGGTGAAAGTTATAGAAAGATACATTTAGGTTCAATAATGAAGAAGGGCACTCTTACAGTGTTGGCTAATCTTAATCTTGAAATAGATTGTGTGCTAAGTTATGAGCTCCCCATCAATGAGTGACTCACTCAAACAGAGCAAATCAGCATTAAAATGCACACCCAAGGGACCCCACTGCAGAGTCCTCTTTTTAACACCCAAGGTGCTTGCCATACACAGCACCACAGACTGCTGAGCCTAGGCTGAACCTGAGCTGAAGGAGACGTACAGATTTGCTGTCTGTATCTTAGTCTCATCATAATGGACAAAGAGCAGTCCAGCAGGTCATGATGTCAGGCATTTGTTTTTATTAGGTCTCAGAAGGCTCCTGTTGGAAAACAGTCCTGGGAACTTTTGTGTACAAGCTCCTTGGAGAATGTGGTGAGAAAGATACAACACATAGGTACGTGTGTGTGTGTGTGTGTCTACTTTTTGGTGCATCTCGGAGCGGGCTCTGCAGGGGCTCTGCAGGGGCTCAGAAGCGCTTCTGGAGGGCAGACTGAATATTCTTCAGCAGGCCCCACTTAGCTCGATTCTTCCCATGCCCATCTGGTGTCACCACCTGTAATGAGAAGCAAAGAGCTGTGCTGCTGCCACAGAGGAACCCTGGCTCCTAGGAGCCCAGCAAGCTCCTGCTAGAGCAGAACTGTACACATCATCTCCTTGACTCCTTACAGCATCCGCAGAAGGCCAGTACTTTCAACCCTGCTTGAGAGAGGAAGAAACCTCAGCACAGAGGAGCTCACAGCTTTCTCGAGGACCTGAAGAAGCTGGTCTGGGGAGGGGTTGTGATGTCATGGACCAGGTCCTCCTTCCCTTAAGTCAGCTCATTTACCTGAGTGCTGAGGACAGGCAGGCTGGACCCAGATGGGTGTCACTACAGAATACCCCCCCCCCCCCGCATCTTCCTCCATCCTCTGGTACTTGTTTCTGTCATAGCTCTTGTCAGTTGTAAGTTTCAGGTGCTATGTTTGACTTTCTTTCCAGAATGGGAAGAGGGGAGAGGGATGACTGTCTCTCATCTATACAATCCTAATACTACCACTTATGTTAAAGAGACGGTTCATAGAAGAGTAGACAAATGGTGAATAGTCTACAAATTAGAAGTATGTCAAGTGTTTCCCTTTGGCACAGGCAGAAATCAGTGGATGGTCTGTAGTATGTGGGAAAGGCACATTGCACTGGGTGTGAGGGCCAGGAAGGATCCAGTTAGAAATCACACCAGCTCCACTGAGGTGTGGGGCTCCATGTCTTCCCTGGAAGGTGGTGCCTTTCTCCGTGTCTCTGGTCTGGCAGCATTCTCATTCTTTACAAATACCCATTTGCTACAGTGGCATTTAGGGAGTGAAGTTGGGACTCGGATGGAGGAGTCCTGGGGTCCAGTGGGCTCTGTCCAGAGAAATGGGGATTTGCAGGGCAGATAAGGAGAAGACGGAGTTGGGATGGTGAAGAGGAAATCACAAAGTCTCACATGTCACAAATTGCAAAGTCTCCATGTGTAAAACTTGTAACCTTTTATTTTTACAAAGGGAAAGGACAAAAAATATATATACTAGCATTACGTTGTCTACTTTTATAAAATTTATTTTTGCTTTTAGAGAAAACAAAGCTGCGTGTACGGTAAAGGTCATATTATATACTTGATAGATTACCCAATTCTTAAGTAAAATGGAGATAATGCATAGCTATAACCCTGACAAAGGAAAAATAAATAGCATATGCAAACTGAGCTATCAGGGACGATGAGGAAAGGGTCACAGTAGTAAGAGGGCCTAAGAACTGAATCATAGAAAATAGAGGATTTGAGTAGCTCAAATTATAGGCAGGACCTTCACAGAAAAAGACCAAGTGCAACATGTGAATGGGCCATAGAGGGTTGAGTTGTATGTACAAAGAAGTTCATTAGATAAACAGAGGACAGAAGAAGCAAAAAGACAGAACTTGATAGTAAAGAAATGGATATGATAGCTGATGTCGGTTCTCTTGCCAAAAATGCCCCAAGCTTTCCAGGCTCAGACTGCTTTCCAAATGAATTCTACCAAACTTCTAAGACAGAGCTGCTCCAGAAAATAGAGAAGAGAAAAAGTGTTCTAGATTCCTTTATTAAGATAGAGAAATATTGGTTTGAGAAGTAGATAAAAGCAAAAATTATAAACCCAGTTCTCTTATGATCATAAATGTAATAATCTAAAATAAAAATGATGATGTGGGGCTCCATGAAATAGCTGAAATAGTTATTAAAGAAAGAGTATTTAAAAAACACATGACAATCACATAGGGTTTATTTCATGAATGCAAGATAGCTTAGCATCAGAAAATCACTGTGGGCTGGGGATGTAGCTCAGTAGAATGTATGCTTAGCATGCATAAAGCCCTGGGTTTAATCCCTAGCACTCCCAATCAGTTATTGTAATTAACTTTATTAATAATAGCCTAAAGGAGAAAAAAATCATACAATTATTTCGGGTAATGCAAAAAAGTTAATAAAGTTTATCATTTATGCATAAGCTCTCAGAAACCTGGCAATAAAAGGAAATTTCCTTAATGTAATAAGTATTATATACAACAAAAACTAAATAGAAAATAACTGTAGAGAAACATAAAGATCAGGAGTATGATAATATTTACTGTCATTGTTAACATTTTATCTATGGCTGAAGGTCCTACCCAAAGCAATTAAGGAAGAAAAACATAAATTCAAAGACAGTATGGAGGGTGGGGGGATGTAGCTCATTGATGCTGTACCAGCCTGGCAAGCACAAGGTCCTGAGTTTGATCCCTGGTTCCAAAAAATGATTGTATGGAAAAAAATAAAATAATCATTTATAGATGTATATGCCTGGAAAAATAAGCATCATCAACAGATCAACTCTCAGAATAATGAGAGAGACTTTGCGCCTCACAAGTGCATGGGCACAAGTTTGACCCCTGGTATTAAAGAGAGAGAGAGAGAGAGAGAGAGACAGAGAGAGAGAGAGAGAGAGAGGGAGAGGGAGAGAAAGAGAGTGTGAGAGAGAAAGAGAGAGAGATTTTGTTGTGTCCCATGTAGCATTTATTTTATGAAAAATAAAACAAAATTTTATAACAAGATAAAGAGAATAACAATAGTCAATGTACAGGGTATCATTTTCAAAGTAGAATTCAGATGAATCTACAAATAGCAAGTCTTTATTCTAAACAAATAATCCATTATAAAATATAATAAAATACAAAACATTCTTAAAATCAATAGTCTGAAAACTTTACTTTTACTGGATATATGTAAGGTGTGCAACATGATGTTTTCATATACATATATGTAGTGAAATAAGTTCTGCAATCAAGAAGATTAGTGTATCATCATCCCACATAATTACTGTGTGTGCATGTGTGTGCGTGTGCTCAGAGCACTTAAAATCTTGGCATATTTTTAATATACAATACTATAGTGCTCATGCTGTACATTAGATCTCTAAAGTATAATATTTTACTCAAGAAGGCATAATAACTCTACAGGAAAAAAACTTAAAAACTCTGGTAAAGAACATATAAAATACTTTCAATAAATGTTCAAACATATTTCAAATATACCAGTTATCTCCTAATTAAAGACTCAATGTCTTCCTCAAATTCTGTCTGCATTTAAAGAAAAAATTAAATTTACTTACTCCAAAAGTTATATGGAGCAATAAATCTGCATGATTATCTCAACAGAACTTAAAATAGAAAGAGGGCTAATGTAGATACCTTAGCAGTTTATGAAAACCAAGCACAAAGCTGGGATTGAGACAGTAAAACCAGTGTGGTATTGACAAAGGGACAGACACTCTTAAGGCTTGTGTTTAGATGTCCCCCTAAAGCCTCAGGCGGTCATGGGTGGGGCTTTTTCAGAGGTGGCTGGATCTAGAGTGTGTGACTCTAGGATTGATTCATGGGCAGTGCTAGGCTCCAGGGCAATGGGATTAAGGGTAGCACTTTAAGTAGCCTGGATAAGATAAAAGGGGCAGAAAGATGATGTCAAAGTCCCTGTTGCTTTGCTACCATCTGTCTGCCATGAACTATTGCCCCTTTGCCATGTGCCACCCCACCTTGGAACCAGCCGATTATGGACTGAAACCTCTACAAACTGTGAGCTAGATAAACCTTTCCTCCTTTAACTTTGAGTGTTGGGCATTTTGTCTCAGCAGTGAGAGAAAACTAATGACGGACACAGAGACCAATGGGATACCAACATAGACCAATGCAGAGATGTACCCATAAATACATAGGAACTTAGTACAAGATTAAAGTATCACCTTTGTTATATACTCATAGAGAAAAGACACTGCTTGGTAGATGGCATTGGGAAAACCGGCTCACTAGATGGCAAAATAGGTACATCTCTATGTAACATTCAGAGGTAGAGTTTGAATGGATTAAAGAGCTAAATTTGAAAGGTGAAATTAATTTTTGATAAAAGAATAGATGGAAGATTGTGATCTAAGTTGAAGAAAGATCTTTGAAAACCAAGCTTTACGAAGTCAAAACTTAAGGAAAAATAATTGACAACTTTGACTGGACAAAAATTGAAGATCTCCACTATTTCATGAAGTACTGTACACTATGAACAGAGATAATAGACAAATGTCAGAAGGGGGAAGATATTAGCAATGTCTAAAACCATTATCTAGAATGTATAAGGACATGCTGAAAATTACCTAGGAGGAGAAAAATGCAATAGAATATCAGACAGAGGATGTTAACAGGGTGTTTATAGGACAGTAAATTCTTAAAACTTACAAGTATATGAAATGAAATTTAAAACAATAATGGCTGGGGATTTAGCTCAGTGGTGCTAGCAGCTGCTTTGCAAGCACAAGAACCTGAGTTTGATCCCTTGTACAAACAAACAAACAAAAAAAAACCAATAAAATAACCAGTTCATAACTATTAGGTTAGCAAGATAGAAAGATAGATTTTACTGAACCTAGGTGAATCTTAGAATATAAGGGCCATCCTTTATTCCTTATGGAAGTGTTCATAGATGGGATCAAACTCAGCACTCGCCTTCTCTATGACCTGGCAGTTTCACTCCTGGTGTATATCTGATAGGGGCTGAATCATGTCCCTCCAAAGTCTGTATGTTGAAATCCTAAGCCCCAGGAGCTCAGAATGTAATTCTGTATTAGGAGGTAGAGCCTTTAAAGAGGTGATAAAGTTAAAACAAGGCCATGAGGTGAGCTCTGATTCATCCTGGAAGAAGAGGAAATTCAGACCCTGAGACCCCAGGGAGGTGCATGCATGAGGACACATGAGAGGTGGTATCTGTAAGCCAAGGGATGACTCCTCAGGAGAAACAGACCCTGCTGGAACAGTGATCTTGGGCTTCCCACTCCATAGATGTGAGGAAATAAATTTCTGTTGTTTTTGTGAACTACTCAGTAACATTTTGTTATGGCAGCCCTAGCAGATTGTACAACAACCCAGTGAAACTTTCACATCCCCGTCCCACCAACAAGGTGTCACACATAGGGCTGCCCACAACAGCATTATTGGGGGTCATCTGCGTACCTATAAGGGACAAAGTGCCCATAGTAGCATAGGTAGATTATAAGAATACACAATTTAGTGAAAAATGGGCCAGAAACAAAGCAAAATATGTAAGGCAACACTGTGTAAATGAATTAACATGGAAAATAAAACACATTGTGTAAAAACACATTAAAACAAAAAAGGATACATATGAAATATATTAGAATGGATGCCACAAAAGGGAATATATAAATAAGAAAAGTACCTTACATAGATTGGGGTTGATAACGGACATAAATTGAGGTGGGTCGTTAATTAAACCCTGTGGCTGTGAGGTTAAAAAAGCTAGCTCCAGTTTGACCCTAAATGATATTTGCTCCAAGATTCAAGATATTTTCAGGCTGAGTAGAGTGGAACTGGCAGAGTTCTGATAATAGGAAGGGCAGCAGCTTTTCCAAAAACAATAAACCTTATAGAGAATACAAAGCATTTATATTTCATTCCAGGGCTTGGAGCTACTGCCAGTGTGTGGGTGGCCATAGAGTTAGTTCTTCTGAGTGTGGAACTCAGGTTCTTCCAGCCTGAGAGGGTCTGCAGCAGGGAGAGAGGAAGAGCAGAGAGGCATTGTGTGATGGCCAGGCAAGGACCTGGGATGAGCAGGGGGACAGAAGCACTTTAGAGACCTAGGGTAGCCGCACTACTCTTGATTACACAGACACACAGGGGCTGGCAGACAGAGCAGGGCTTTAAGAGAATGAGTAGGGACAGGAATTTCTGCATTTTCTGAGAAGCTATAGAGAAAGACTCAGAAAAGTACCAACTTGTGACTATGGTTGAGCCTGAATTTTTAGCTACAAATGTAATATAAGCTAGTTTACAGATTATGCAGCAGAATAATGTCTACGTCCCAATCCCGGAACCTTTGAATATGTTATGCTTTATGGCAAGAGGCAATTTAGGTCACCAGTCAGCTGATCTTGAGATAGGGAGATGGTCTGAGTCCTAAGAGGTGGGTCCCATGTAATCACAAAGATCCCTTCATGTAGAAGGTGCAGGCAGAAGAGATGGCAGCCCAAGGACTCAGCCCAATGTTGGTGGTTTTGCGGGGGCTGCAAGAAGGGGTCGTGAGTCAAAGAATACAAGTGGCTTCTAGAACCTAGCAAAGGTAAGGAAAAGGAGTCTTCCTTAGACCCTCTAGAAGGAACACAGCGTTGCTGAAACTGATTTCACCCAGTGAGACCCCTTTTGAACTTCTGAGCTCCCGAACCATAAGACAATAAATATTTTGTGTCGTTTAAGCCACTAATTTGTTATGGAAGCAAATGAAAACCACTCAGACAAATTGTCATGAGAAGACTTCATGGAAGTTGGCTGAAATTTGGAGAGAGAGAGAGAGAGAGAGAGAGAGAGAGAGAGAGAGAGAACGTGGTACGTTGTGAGGGATATAGAGAGAGAGAGAGAGAGAGAGAGAGAGAGAGAGAGAGAGAGAAAGAGAGAGAGAGAGAGAGAGAAGGAGAGAGAGCGTGAGAGAGAACGCATATCAAAGTAAGGGGACTATAATGACAAACAGGAATAGTGGTCATCATATATGCCAAGGGTCAGAGGAAGATCAGGAGAGAAAATGAAGTAAGAAAATGAAACATGCCTTTCCTAAGAGCATGTTTTTCTATCCCTTCAAAATTGGCAAGTAGGCCCTTTGGTGCTAGAGGCTTCCAGCTGGGGACTGTGAGCAAAGGAGCAAGGAGGGATGAAGACCAAAGTGATGCACACCCTCATGGAGCTTGCAACACAATGTAGTTGGGATTTGGAGCCAGGCACATGAGCCAAGAAGCAATACTCTCCCAAGCGTATGATTCTCTTTCCCCTCTCTCTTTCTCCCTTTCCTTTTCTCTTTCTTTCCTTCCTTCCCTCCTTCCTTCCTTCTCTTCCCTTCCCAAACCTCCCTCTGTCCCTCCTTTCTTTCCTCTTTCTCTTTCTTTCTTTCTTTCTTTCTTTCTTTCTTTCTTTCTTTCTTTCTTTCTTTCTTTCTTTTTCTTTCTCTCTTTCTTTCCTTCCTTCCTTTCTTCCTTTTTTTCTTCTTTCTCTTCCCCCACTCGTTCCCTCTCTCCTCCTCCTTCCCTGTCTCACAAAAGCAATAACCCCCAAACCTCAGTTCTGCCTACTGTTGGCCTCCACATAATTCTCCTAGAATGAGGTATTCTAACTCCAGAGCTGAGACCACGTTTCTCCAGAGCATCTGAGTATGGTGTAGGGGCGACAAAGGATTTTGGCTTTGGATACAGACCTAGGTTTCAACATAACCTCTCCTTCACGTGATGTGAGTCCACTTTCCCCCTCTGGGCATGTTTCCTTTTCTGTAAAATTAGGCAAGAACGCCTTCCTTTCTGGGTGGTTGGAACTTTGACTGATAATGCATCTGGCATAGAGCTGACCTTCAAATGGAACCTTTAAAAAGCCTTAATTTTCTTGATACATGTTCTCTACTCGAGAAAATCTCTTAAAATCAACAAGTCTTAGACTTTTGCAAATCAAATATAAAAGGTGTTATTTCACTTCTTTTATAAAAGTGCATAGGATGGAAATATTGCATTTTGGATAAGAAATGATTCTGCTGCCTTACTGCAGCATTTAAATGAAACCTTTCAGGAATACAGCCTAGCGCTGATGCCAAAGGGAAAAAAAAATCTCGATTTTATAGGAAGGAGCTAAAGTCATTACTTTTATGAAGCTTTATAAATGTCATTCAAACATACCATCTTGTTTTCATTTGCTATTGAAGCCTTTACTTATGCAAATGATGACAAGTGTTAAGGAAATCAGTGTTTCCTCTGGAATGCTAATACAACCAGGAAGAAGGGAGGGAGAATTTCTTCTGAAGGAAAAATCTATACTGTGGCTCTTTGAGTCAGATAAAAATGAAGCTTCCAGAAAGCCTCATTAATTAGGGCTCTGCTCATTTAGATATTGTTAAAAGCAAAGGGCCTGGAATGCATTTCTTTCTCTTACACAGAAGGCAAATTAATCACGTAAACACAATTTTAGATAGTGATATTTCTTGACTGATTGCATAAAATGCTTAGCTTTCAGGCATCTCGTGGTACTTTGTAATTATTAATTTTATTTATCAATTTGTTTCTTCACTCTTTAATTTAGACATCCATTCATACTTTCATTTGATTGGTCCTATTTCCACTCATATCTCCATTCAATAATCATTAAAAATCTTCTATATGCAAACTGCTGGGGTAAGCAGTGTGGGAGAAAGAGGAGCTGTGAATTTTGTTCTCAAGGAGTCTACATAGTGAGAGGGGCAACAAAGCATCCGTCCAGGGAGGGCCCCACAGGGTGAATGGCAGACAGAACACACTTCAGTCTCTCCACCCAGTGTCGGTCATCCAGAAATGACAGAAGGTGCATTTAACAAAATTACTGACAGTACTGAGTGCCCTTCATGGTAAAGATGTGTCTGAGGGATTCCTGAAAAGATGGAATTGGGTAAAAGGAAAAATCCACAGTTAGGAAGACACTGCAAAATGTATTAGCAGTTGTTGGCATTCCGTTTTCTGAAGGAAAGGATGCCAAGAACCAGCAGGACTCGGGGCAACTGACCAACAATAGAGTGGCAGCTGGGGTACAGTAGGAGAAGTGCCCAAGCAGGCCTTCCATCCCTCTTCCTTTCCATACAAGCCAGCGTCTGACCTCTGTGGGAGGGCAGGGTATGCACGAGGGTGCTGGGTTCCAGAAGCACAGCATAAACCGCAGGACCTGGCCATCTGGATGGAGTAGCCCCGCCTCACAGACTAGTTCCCCATCGCATAATCCTGTCCTACCCCACTTTCTGCTTTCCCCTTACCACTAGAGGGAGTGACAGGACACGCCAGATTCTCATCTTCATACGTCTTACCAGGAGACAAACAGAAGGTGGCTAATCGGATATTGGTATTAGAGTTAAGATTGCACATGCAGGCTCCAAGCTGATTTTAGAGGAGCAGAAACTAAAGGCTAGTCAGAAATGGTGCAGATTCAAAAAGAAAAAGAGATGGGAGGGAGGAGGAGGGTGCTTCTAGTTTTCTAGTTCCCTTGGTATCACATCAGAGGTATGTCCTGACAGGGATCTGATGAGACCTCCAACTCTCTACTCTCTCTCTCTCTCTCTCTCTCTCTCTCTCTCTCTCTCTCTCTCTTTCTCTCTCTCTCTCTATTACACACATACATTTTCCCTTTTCAAAAATGGAAATGAATGGACTCATCCTTTTGGCTTCTAAAGAATCCTTGATTGAGACAGAATCTACTCTGATTCCAAAGAACACCATCATAGTTACACAGTATGATAGCTCTGGGCAGTCTCAATATTTTTCTTCTTTTAATATCAATAAAATTATATTCACAAGTGCGTGACCCTCCTGGGGTATAAAGGAGAACCAACCTTGTATCTCAAAGAAGAAAGAAATAATGTTTTCTTTCTCGGAGCCTACCTGACATGTTCAGTGGCTATTCCTTAACTTTCAGATAAAAATTATTTGTATATAGAGGTCTTAAATAATATGTGGGATATGCTTATACTGAAATTTTTATTTGTTGTTTGTGAGAAATTCAAACTTACTCCTGGGTATCCTATTTTTATTTGTTAAACTTGCACTGTCTTTGCCTGGGGGTAGGATCCCCTTTTTATTTTTTCTCATATTACAATTATTTCTTATTCTCTCATACAAAAATTTACTAGACCCTAAGAACCTTGAAAATAGGGATTATGTTTTATTTTTCTCTCAGTCTCTGCACCCTAATACCTCCTAACAATGCCTAGAACAATTTTTTTTTTCAAATATAGCATAACTTGACAACTCTCAGGTCTTATTTGCAAAGTCTGGTAGAGGGCAATTTAGCCTTCTCATTGATCCTGCGTTAGCAAATTTTCTGGGTGGAGAGGGTCAAGAAAAGTGTGTTTGAGAAAGAATGTGCACATTACCTTGCAAATGTCACTCCATTGTCCAGGACCATTGTCATTGATTGCTCTAACTTTAAATAGATACTCGGTGTTGGGGGTCAGGTTATGTAGCTCCAGATTCTGTTGCATTATGTCCCGAATTTGTCCACAGAGCTCTGTCTGCACATTGTTAGGAGGAGTAGTAACGAGTTCATAGAATTCCATCTCAAAAGAGTCCACGTCTTCTGCTGGACATGTCCAGTAAACCTGTGGAAGAAATGAACATGCTGGTGTGGGGCTAGTCCACCACCCGCTCAGCTTTCTTTCCTGTGAAGACTTATACTGTGCCTCTCTGGGGGTCAAGTTTAAGATGACCGCATCCCCTGCCACTGTTGAGGTCTTGGAGTTGCAGCCTGTTCAACAGTAGAGCAAGGATGTGTGAAAAGGTCTGGCTGGCATGATGCTTTTGACAGACTCCAGAAACAGAAGAATGCTACTCTGGGTTCTGTTACTCTTGGTCAACTTGGAGGTGACAATTGTCCTTCCAACATCACTAGCAAGAGTTGCTACGATTTATTGAATACCTATTATGCATCAGACTCATGTCAGTCATTACCATCTCTAGCTCATGTAATCCTCACAGACTGGAAGACAGTCTGCACTATCCTTTTCACGGGATCCTAAGGGACAGTGTTGGCAAATTCCAGTGGAACCATAGAATGCTTCAAGGTGAGAAGAGTATCTATTCCAACTCTGATTGGAAGGAAACATCCAAAGCGATTAAATAACTTATAAAATAATGGGAGATGTATGTTCACACCCAAAGCATAAAATACCAACTTCTAGGAAGGGATATATTTAATAAGCCTCAATTAGCAGATGGTGTCTGGAACATTGCTATTTTATACTGCTTGTCTTTTTAAAAGCCACTATGTAATGATTTTACTAAAGTCTTGATAACCATAAAGGTTATGAGAATAGAGTTAATTTATAAGTATACAAATTTTACAAATGTTTTTAAAACAATGAAATTTGATTTTTTCTGGTTATCAAAACAAGAGTACTCACTGTAACATACTTAGAAAATACAGAAAAAGTATAAGGGAAGAAAATAAACATCATTCACAATCTCACAATCTAGTTAATTCATTATTATTTCTTTTCAATTTTGGAATACACATAAACATACAGATACATGTAATTTAGATTATGCTACTTGGGCTTCCTTCTTTCATTTATTATATTTTATATATTTTCCTATATTATTAAAAATTCAGAAGTGTACTATCTTCAAAAAACTGCCCCATAAATAATTTATCCTATAGTTGAACATTTAGGTTATTTCTAATTTTATAATCTCATTAAAAAATGCTGCAATGCATACATTTGGTCCTAAGTCTTCATCTAAATTTTTAAATTTTTTAAGGAAGAAATTTCTAGAAATGAAACTGAGTTTAAAGTTTCTAGGATTTTTACAATACATATTAACAATTTATAAAACTAATTTTTAAAATATAGGAATACCTCAGCTCATGAATGCTTCTGTTTGCAAACAAGCTTGAAAACAAAAGCATTCAGCAAAATTTTGCTTAGTTTGTTCACAGACATCGGGTAACAAACAGGACCACAGCCATCTTTCCCACCCATACACAAATGCAGCCATCTGCCCCCAAATCATAAAACAAATTAAATTCTTAAACTGAGGTACCACTTGTATTTTCTGGGCCAAATATTCTAAAGATTTGAGAGCGATACCAGCACAGACTTGTCTTGCATTGCTGAGCACTGTGATTCCTCAGACCCTAAAATAGGGATCAATGATATTTTTACTCCAACTGTATGACAGCAGGTTAGGTATCCTCTCTTGATAATCAGTGACTTGACTGGGTTGTTTTGTATAGGCCTCTTTCTCGAGTTCATCCAGGAGCCACTGGTAGATGGGATTGGGTAAGTTTTTCCAGGCCCAAGGATAAGGCAGACACCACCAATGTTTTCAAGGGACCTGTCAGCTCTCTACAAAGTCTGGGTCGACATGGAGATGAAACCCTGCTATCATCTGTAACCTGATGTTACTTACACTGCGGACCTTGCTGGTTTAGTATCATTTTGTGTCAACTTCCCAGTCGTAGGCATCTTTTAAGTGAAGGTCAGGGAGACCTCACTGTGTCTGACAGCTTCTGTGCGGTCATTCTTGGGTTAGTTATAGACTTCAAAACATAGATTACCACATCTCAGGGAAACGGGGAAGGGAAACTTGGCCTGTGTCTAGTGTTCATTTTTCTGTTTGTTTTTAGATAAATCCTTTATACCAAAGTATATGATCTGTAGATAGCAAAATTAGTTTTCGAGAAAAAGACTTAACCTACTAAAATAGATTCTATGTTTTAACAAGATTTCCAGGTGTAGTTTAGGATCCAAAGGGGAGGATGAATATATCCTGAGATTATTGGGGCTCTGTCACAAGGAAGCAGGTGAAAGGCTGGCTTGGAAGGTGGTCCTTGAAGAACCCCAGAGGAACAAGACATACTCTAATGGATTATCTAGCTATATGTTAATCTTTATGCCTCTGAATTTTATGAGGTATCACACAAGCAATTCAATTTAGGTACAGCTGGACTTAAAAGATCATTTGTCCATTGTAGGTTATGAAGGCCAAAAGGGAATCATGTCTCTTGAGGCCAGGTGACAGAAGCTTTAGAGATCTATGAGACTACACTCTCCAGACCTTTCCTTTAAAAAAAAAAGTGACTCTCAGGAGGGAAGAACTGGAATTATGTTGTGGATTATCCTTCCAACTTTTTTCAAATCACAAAGTCTGAATATTTTCTTTGGGAAGAAGGAATAAAAGGTAACAGCCTGCATTTCTATATTCTATGTTCTTTCTATTACAAGCATTCCTTTGAGAAACACTTAACTCTCAAAGCAGTCTCCTCAAATTCCTTTTGGTTCCACTGTGGTTCCCTTTGGGTTAAGTGTGGGACATTCAGATGTGTTTGTGAGGATGAGTTTAGTACATTGAATGGTTTAAGCCAATCTTGGGTTACTGAAGGCTTTCAATGGGCTGACCACAGGTGTCAGCAGAGCAGGTTTAAGTGACCAGATCCTAGAGGTTAAAGAAGTATACACAACCTTTCATGACTACTCACTTCCATTATTCGACCTGTTCCCATCCCTTCCTTACCTTGGCGGCTCTGGGATACACCAAAGTCTGGTAGATTACAATTGGGCCTGGGGTCTTCACAGAGGTCTCATTGAATGAATACCAGTTGTGGAAGCTGTTGCTGTCCTGCACAGGCTGGTTTTCTGCCGTAGTGCTCCAGTAGGTATAGAAGCCATCTGTGGGTTTGGCAAGGGCAGCTGACTGTGCCCTCCCATACTGTGCCTCCAGACCCATCTTGGTCTTCTCGCCAGTGGTGTTGAAAGACAACAAGGAGGAGCTTCGCTGGTATATCTGCTGGTTGCCAAAGCTGTGGGTGCTGAATGTGACCTTCCTGGCATTCATCTTTTCTGAGCGATTGGGATAGGGAGAGGCCAGCGAGTTCCCCGAGGAGCACACCTTCTTGGGTCCTGTGGGGAAGAGCTCATGGATGGCACTGGAGAGCTCAGCAAAGTCTAGGGGCATGCCGTGCAAGGAGTGGAGCCGTAGGTGGGGGTCGGGCCTGTAGGTGCTCTGGATGCCGTCCTCAATCTGGTCCACGAGAATCTTGGCTGACTGCAGGAACGCCACTTGGCCTGTCTCCTTCAGCGCTTCCTTCGAGTAGGCGATTAGACCATCCATTTCATTCACTTTCAGGGTTGTGATGTACACGTATTTTTCTATCTCCTTCTGCCTGGACACTTCTAGATTCTCTATCTGTTCCATGATGACCTTCTCTTTCTCATGAAGGATGCTGCGCAGCTTGAGAAATCCATTTCTGATCTCTTTTCGCTTTGCCTCTTTGTCAGCTTTAAAGCTGTTTTTTAAAATGTTGAATTCCATTAGGTCATTATCAATTTCATATCGGACTGTAAAACAATCACATTAATCATGGTTACAATTTTCATCTCCCCAGATGTCAAAAATAATAGAAACTGGAGCAAATTATATCGGGCTCCATGGAAGTGGGTGGAAGGGGAGGGAAGGCACTCGTAGGTGGGCAAAACAGGCCAGCATAGGTTTACAAGATGAATTTCCCTCTCTCCCTCCCTTCCTCTTCCTCTCAAACTTCCCTCAGGTATAACCCACCATGCTTTCCTGGCATACTTTTGTTTTGTAACAGTGACCACTGTGGCCTCAGATCTGAGGATGAAAGTTTATGGCTGCTCTTGACATTGATTTTCACCAAACTGCACTTGTCTGCAAGTTGGATTGCAGATGAAATGAAAGGTAAGGTTTTACAAAAGAAGGAAAAGAACTAAACTGATGATTTCTTCTAAATGATGCCTTGCCCAAGAATTCTTGCTATCAAAAATCCAGCCCTACACGTTATGGCCTCAATGTGCATCCATTTAGCTATAAATGTCTCTGGTTTCTCATGCTTTATGGCTGAATAGTACTCCATTTTGTAAATGAAAGAAAACACATTTTCTTTGTCCAGTCTCAAGTTGATGGGCATTTTGGCCCTTTCCAAGTTTTAGCTATTACAAACTGTGCTGCTATGCACATGGTCTCACATACAGCACTATTGTATGATTCTTTTAAAGATCAAAATGTATAATAGATAATATGAAATACAAAGAAAAGGTCCAAAAGGGAAAGGGAAGTGGTAGGTGTAGGGGAAAGGAATACATATAACAAAAGGAAAAAATGGAAACAAAGTCTTTGTAAATAGAGAGTGGTGGAGGGGTTGACAGGAGGGCAGGGGAATGGGGAAAAAAAAAGAAGCAAGATATAATTATAATAACCACGTAATGGTACAAATTCCCAATGATGAATGTCATCATAGTGTATACCTAAAATGTACCAATAAACTTAATGAATAAAAAACCCCAGCAAACACACTGAGCAATCAAAGTTCAATAGAAGATCAATAGGAGGGGACAAAGGGATGGGTTTCTTTCAAATGGGAAGAGTGAGATATGTATCCATTTTCCTATGAATGAATCTAAGTTCTCATTTTTTATGGCTGAGTAGTATTTCATTTTATAGAAAAACCACATTGTCTTTATCCAGTTTCCAACTGATGGGCAAATGGGCTGTTTCCAAGGTTTAGCTATTACAAACTGCCACTATAAACAGAGGTGCTCATATATCACTGTGATATGATTCTTTCAATTCTTTTGGAAAGATACCCAGCAAGAGGGATGGCTGGGTCAAATGGTACCAGCAAAGAAACAGACCTGAGAATCAGTGGAACATATTGGAAGACACAAAAACAACTCCAGACGTACGTACTCAGCTACGTCATCTTTGACAAAGGAGATGACCATCCTCAGTGGAGGAAAGACAGCCTCTTTAATAAATGGTGTTGGAAAAACAGGATCTCAACTTGCCAAAGATTAAAACTAGACCCTTATCTTTCACCATGCACTAAATTAAAATCCAAATGGATTAAAGATCTAAATATTAAAACAGAAACACTAAACTTGCTGGAAGATAAGTTAGGCAGAACTCTTGAAGACATTGGCATAGGAAAAGATTTTATGAACAAATCCTCAGTAGCATGGGGACTAGCAGAAAGAATCAACAACTGGGATCTCATCTTATTAAAAAGCTTCTGCATTGCAAAAGAAACCATCAACAGAACTAAGAGACAACCTACAATGTGGGAAAAAAAATTTTACCAGCTGCTCCTCAAAGGACTATTATCTAGAATCTATAAAGAACTGAAAACAACCAGCCCCCCCCAAATATAAAGACCCAATTAAAAAATGGGCATCTGAAATGAACGACATTTCTCAGACAAAGAAGTAAAAGCAGCAAGTAAATATATGAAAAAATATTCCACATTACTGGTCATTCGAGAGATGCAGATGAAAACAACACTGAGATTCCACCTCACCCCACAAAGAATGGCTGCTATCAAGAAATCAACCAATAACAAATGTTCGCGGGGTTGTGCGGGAAAAAAGAACCCTTCTCCATTGTTGGTGGGAGTGCTCTTGGTTCTTAGCATCACCCTTGTTCCACAGAAAGCTGGTCTTCCATGAATGGTGGCTTATGGTAAGAATAATGTGCATTTCAGTAAAAGAAACTTAGGGTCCTGTCAGACAATGAGAAAAGGGACCACAGCTACCTTGATTACCACTATTACCAGGGTGAAAAGAGTTAGGCAAAAGGTGTTTTGTTTTCTGGTATTTTGGAGGTCAATGCTGGCAATATAATTTTTTGGCCTTTTCGGTAATGGTTCCGTTTCCTTTGCCGACCTCTTCCTTCACAATGGCCTTGAGGCAATGCAGGTAGAAGAATAACAGGAAACTGTTAGTTTGCAATTTCACTTTGGCTGTAAGGTTCTTCCTGATCTCTGTATGCAATCATGTTGTGACTTATGGCAACTCAAATTCCATGTTATGCATTATTATCTCTGACTATTCAATAGTTGCTGGCTGTTAAAGAAACTTGGAGAGGAAATTCTTTGCTTTGTTAGAGATTAGTTCAGATTATATACAGCAAAGTTCTGAAAGTTAGAAAAGGAATTTTTCAGACAAGGGAGAAGGGGCAGTGCCAGGAGAGGAGAAAAGAAAGAAGAAGCCATAAGCTCACTCACTCCAAAGCCTTACAAATAGGATGGCTTAGCAAGAGCTGACCTTAGAACAAAGTCAAATCAAAGTCTTCTTCAGGCAATATACTGAAAACTAGCTGCTATTTATTAATCATTTATTATTAACTAGATCCATATATTATGAACCAGATCCATATATTATCATAGTATATGTATCTTTCGGTATAATAATGAGATATTGTTCCCATTTAAGGGAACTAAAGTTCAGAGAGGTGATTTAACTGTCCAAAGTCACATGCTCAGTACAGGGGAGAAACTAGACCTTGTCCCTGAATCCATTTGTTGAACACCAAGACCTATGTTTCTTAATTTCTCCAGCTGTGGCTCTCAGTTCTCTATAATCACTGGAATCATTTGAATGTTTTTTTTAACAAAACTTTTCTTGCCCACATGCTGAACTTTTGAATCAGTTGGCCTGAGATGGGGCTCAGGTATCCAGATGAGGCAGTTTTCACCTAGGTTTACAATAAAATTCGGGGAATCTTCTGAGCATCTTTGCTAAAAATTCAGATTCTGATGCAATAGGCAAGATGGGCTGACATTCTGCATTTCTAACAAGCTCCTAGGCGATACCACCTTTGGACCACACTTTGAGTGACAGGGAGCTACATTTCTGAACTCTTAATCTAGTTCTCAATCTTTGCTACACATTAGAATCACAAGGGGGAACTTAAAAAAATTAAAACAACCATTGATCAGCCTGTTCCTCTGTAGTAATGAGAGAGGGGCATAGGTAGTTAGTAAGGCTCCCAAACTGGATCTTCTATGAAGGGTTTATTTTTCAGTGTAAATTCTCAGATCATCCACTTTTAAATATCTGGGGATATGTTCAAAATGAACATTTATGACACCTGTCAGGAAAGTACTCAAGAACAAGTTCAAAGTGTAGTTTAAAATGTTGTATTTGTTCTTTCAGGAATGAAGAACAGGCTAAGTTCTTTATCTACCTGACCTCTAATTCACCAGTAGCTCTGTTCTCCTCCCAGCTTCTGAACAGTCCTGCACTTTATACTGGTGTTGCACCTAAACTCTGAATAGAAGTTTGCTATCTGACCTGTAAAAGTGCCCTGGATTCTGAGAAAACCATCCCGGGCCTCTCCTATGTCGGCACCCTGATTCCCTACAGCCACATGAGCGCCACTGCAGGCTATAGGCTGCAGCCCCTTCCCAATGCTGAAGCCCAAGAGTCTATCTAAGTCCTGGCCAGGGCAGGCAGTGAGTATTATCTTAAGAAGACCCTGTAGGAGTCAACGGGTCTAATAATTTTTCTTGGCACTATTCCTCAAACAGGGTTTCTTTTCTATGAGGCTTCCTTGGTGGTGGCTCCAAAATGGAATAATTTTCCATTCATGCTGTTTCCAAGTATGTGGCAGTTGAGAAAATCAAGGTATTCCTGAAATATCCATGCTGATGAGAGTCCCAGGTGACATGAAAATTGGCAGTCTGTTTCTCTACATGCAGTGGGAGCTTTCTGGGCAGCTCAGAGAAAAACTGCCTCCTGCCTCTGTGTCTGGGCATGTCTGTATGACAGAGAAAAGGGGAAAGGGCTGTCTAGATCTGGGGCACCTTGCTTGGCCACTGACGGTGGGCCATTCTTTAAGGATATGGACCATGGATGGATGGTGTAGCTGTCCACCCTCATGGCTTTATTTTTAAATTCTAGTTACCATCTAGCACAGAGTACTTGTGAAATGAAAGTTGTGCAATCAATAAGGGCATTGGATAGCTTAGATCTGCTTCTTACTAGCTGCCTTGTGCTTGTTATTTCTTTGAACCACAGTTCTTACATCCATGAAGGTGGTTATAATGCCTGCACTGTAGAATTACTGAGATTGGATATATTTGTATTTCAAAGGCCTCTGTAGAATTGGCCTTTGCTCAAGGTGCTATTCTTGGAAGTGAAGGGCCCTAAAAGGATCCCTAGGGTCCTCCAATCTATCCAGGTGGAGTCACATCCAGAAATTATTGGTCATTTACTGAACTCCTTGAAATATTATTGTATTTGGTTCCATCCTAGAGACCAAGGTCTGTTTCCCTTATAGAACTATAAGTATTTTATATGTAGCCAATATAAACAATTATGAACAGGCATGTGGAGGAACAACAAGCTGTTGTCCAGAATATTATTAGCTATTCCTGAGTTTTCCTATTATTTATTGTGTTTGTTATCAGTTCATTTAAATTATTCCCTAAAATTTTGGGGGGAAAGCTCATGGAGGAAAATTTTAAATTGGGTTGATTTTTGGTGTTAACTTAATCCTTTTCCCCTGAAAATTGGGAGGGTTGGGTGGGTGGGAATCCAACTTCAGGACAAAACACAGAACTTCAGGAAACTAGAGAATCAAACTTAATTTCCAAAGAGGAAAATGAAGGCAGAGGACTTGGAGATTATAGACTCTTTATGCACTTTTACATGCCAGATCAGTTTTTTGCATACTGTACAAAGAGCAACTCATTTAATGCTCACAACACTAAATGAGAGAGTTACTTCTATTATCCCCATTGTACAGAAGAGGAAACCAAGGCACAGGGAGGCTAAGTGGCTGGTGGCAGCAGCCAGTGTGGACAATGCTACGTGACCCCAGGGGAGCTCGGTGTTTCCCAGGCCACAGATTGCTTTGGTGGGCGAAGGTAAGGCTGCCATTAATAGCTTGCCCCAAGCCATCTTCCCTATCAGTTCCTGTACCAGGAGCTACTCTGGAAGGGAGAGACACACACGCTAGCACCAGGACCTGCTTTGAACTTGGCGATGGCGCTGAAGAGTGCCGCAGCCCTCTCGGAGCAGGCGTCTATGAGGCTGACGGTGTCGTGGCCGCTGTGGAAAGCCACCTTGCAGAAGGTGCAGAGCAGCTGGTTGTCACTGCGGCAGTACTCGCTGATGCGGCTGGACGGGTGGTGGATGCAGATCTTCTCGTCCTGGTCCTCGGCGCTGGTGTCCACGAAGACGTGGTCCTGCATGGCGACATCCGAGTGGAAGGCCTTGAGGCACTCGTTGCATAGGTTGAGGCGGCAGGTGATGCAACGCTTGTAGGCGATGCGACGGCTGCGGCAGACCTGGCAGAGGATGGGCCCTGAGGAGCGGTCGAAGCGCCACTTGAGGTAGCCGTGTTCCTGCATGTAGCGCTTGGTAAGGCGGCTGCGCAGGTAGTTTTCGGGCAGCCGCATCTTGTGGGTATAGGGCATACAGTGCGAGCGGTTGCAAACCGGGCAAATGAGGATGAAGAAATTCTCTGTGACTTCGGCGTGCTTTTGCAGCTGCCGTAGGCACTTCTCGCACAGGCTGTGGTTGCAGGGCAGCATAAATGAGTGCAGGTGCAGCCGGTTACACATGGGGCAACTGAGATGGTCGACCAGGTGGCTGTTCGCTGGTAAAGACTTCACATCATCCACCTGAGTACCACTGCTTCCCACATGCAGAGCAGTCTTGGACCTGCAGGGAGAAGGAAACAGGAGAGCTTGCTCTGTCTCTCAGGCATGTCAGTGGGATGGGGAAGATACGGGCTTCTGCCAGGGTGCCTGGCTTCTCAGCTGCCTCCTTCATCTTTTAATTGGGTGACCTCTCTGCCTGTTCCTCATTCATGCTGCAGAGTTTCTTGAGAAGATTAAAATTAATTTAATACCTCTAAGGACTGAAAGCAATCCCGGGAAGAGATCTGCAGCTTTTAGGTGCAATTTTCTGGCAAGAGTGATGCAGCAGACTGGCCTGCAGCGGTCAGCTGGATGTTGGTGTTTCCTTGGTTATCAGTAATGTCATGAAACATCTACATCAGACACCCACAAGGGCATTGTGATTGTGATGAATCTAAACAGAACAGAACCATTCCATAATGTTGGAACTCAGACAAGAACATTGTGCAAATCACAAAATGACCACTATCCCATACGGATTAATAGAGGTGACTGCCACTAGTTCTTCTCCCCCATTGCCACCCCGCTGCCATTGCAGATCCTGGCTCGCTCATACTGTTCTTCCCATCTTCTTTTAAGACAACCCTCATGTTCTCACCTCCCACCAGCCAAATCCTATTGTAATTCATTGATGCTTTCTTATCCAGGCTCTTCCCACTGGCTCATGGATAAGTTGCCACTTGTTGGAATGAATCAAGAAACCCAGTCTTGTCCAACTCCAAGTGTGTTCTTGGTGGGCTGTGCCTAGAGGGCATCAACATTATTATTATTGAACACAGGAGAGAACACAGAGCAAGGCGGTTAGGGTAGTCTCCAGGACACCAGGAAGTCAATACCTGAGCCAAATCTAGAACATACGCACATGATCTAACTCCCAGACCAACAGGTAATACATAGTACATGTCTTTCTTTCTTTCTTTCTTTCTTTCTTTCTTTCTTTCTTTCTTTCTTTCTTTCTTTCTTTCTTTCTTTCTTTCTTTCTTTCTTTCTTTCTTTCTTTCCTTTCTTTTTTCTCTTTCTTTCCTTTCTTTTTTCTCTTTCTTTTCTTCTTTCTTTCTTTCTTTCCTTTGCTTCTGGGGATTGAATTTAGGACCTTGCACTGGTGAGACAGGCAGTGGCACCACTGAGCTAAATCCCTGGCTGAGGAGAGTTTCTTAACCTCCCTCATATCATTTTCCTTATTGCTAAATCAAAGTTCACAACACTACTTCCTTAATGAGGTTTTTAATAATATTTAAATGAGCTAATCCATGCTAATTGCTTAGCTTAGAGTAGATCATAAGCATTGAACAAGTGTGGCCACTATAATTAGTCTTGCTGCTACTAACAACATATGTCCACAGTAGAGGAAGATTCCACAGTACAGGAAGATAGTGGTCAAGTCCGTGAAAGAACATATCTCTGTTGGGTTATGTGTGTTAAGATCATTTATTTGTCTAGTATCTGAGGCCAATTTCCTATATTTATTTGTAAGAACAAAGGATGAAGTGAGAAAATTCTTGTAAAATTTAAGTTTATGGCCTAAGAAGTTACAAGCAGAGCAAAAGCAGTTCATGAAAATAAATGAATTAGCTATGGGAATGGAGGAGTGAACAGATGCATGACCTACAGCAATGCTTGTGTGTTGGTGCTGCACTGGGCTGCATTCCCTTGTGCCTTTGCCTTTCCCTATATCTCTGTCTCCATTCTATCTCTTGGCCAGGGACCTATTTCTCAGAGTCCAGCCCCTCAAAGAAGCTCTCAAACATACTGCAGTGAGTGGCACTGTGGCCACAGTCTCCCTCCTGTAGAATCAAGCACCTGGAAATCTCATTCTTAGTGGTGCAAACCTATGGCACATGTGCTGCAGTGAGCTGTTCGTTATCGCTGAAAGCTCTAAAAGGTAAACCATCACTGCCCTAGGATTTGGGATGCTGGGCTAAGCTCTTCTCTTTGTTTCCTCTCTGCTTTTCGGCCTTCCGCTTGGGGCTGAAGGGGCACCTCGGAGGTATAGGTCTGTTCGATAGTTGGATGGACTTCCTTTAGTTTGGCAAAAATGTAAGACTCAGAATCAGTGTATACCATAAAGGATATGGTGAGAAATTAGAAAGGGAGGGAGGGAAGAAGGGAGAGGTTGTGGAAGAGAAAAAGCAAATGTAGGTTTGACCGGAAGTCAAAGTAAGCCGTAGTAAAGATGAGAAGGGAAATGACAGAAAGAATGAGGCTGAGATGGTGAGTGAGACTAGAGTGAGGGAAGTTGCTGGGCAGAAGAGGCGGTCACAAGCACAGGGAGCAGGAGCACAGCAAAGAGAGGCCAGTGGGGAGCTGAGCTCCACCCAGTATGACAGAGTTGACCTTCTGGCATTTGCAATACTCCCCCAACCCCAAGACGCAGGGGATGAAATGCGCATTCGAGGGGCACTGGTTCTATGTCAGAGCAGTCAGCAAGCCCAGCAGCCTTGTCTTCTTGCTGGATATCCTGTCAGATTCAGGCCTGTTGTCCTTGTACCTGGGTTCTCACCTGGCTGGCAAGGTTCCCAGATTCTCTCCGTGCCTACTCCAGGCCATTCTGCATATTAGAATCACCTGAAGGTGGCAGAGCTTTTACAATTTTGAGGCACAGTTTGTACTTTTAGACTAAAAAAAAATCATAGTGTCTAGGGGTAGGGACAGGCATTAGAATATTTTAAAGATTTCCAGGTGGTATCACTGTACAACAAAGTCTGGGAGCCACTGGTGCCTGAGACATCTTCCAAGAGTTCCAATTTCATTCTTACTCAGCTGAAAGAGGCTGAGTGTCTTTCCATGGCTGGTGCACAGAGAATGGGGCAATGAAGAGAAGATTCACATCTTAGAATTTGTAAACTCACATCCAGAATCTGTAGCTTCTTTTTCATGCAGATATCATAACAGGGTTATGGGTGGTGATAACAGTTATTAGACATCTGCTAAGTGCTTAATTGAGTTGTAGATCACATTCTTCCCTCGAATCCAAACCTTTGCTCACAGAATTGCTTTTCCAGCCTTGAAAGCCTTCAAACCTGCCTCCCATTGTTGTTTTCTCTCCTAATCTTGCCATCTAAAAGTGCTGTTATGCCCCTTCTTCCTCTGAGAAATCTGTCTGTAATATACTAGATTCCCCTTGTGCATGACATAAAAAGACCAGTTTGGTAGAGAAGGAAGAGGCTATGCAGTGCACAACAAGGAGAAGTACTACCACAAGTAAGTAACTAAGAGCCAACCTGCTATGATTTCTGTATCAGGAAAGGTGAGAAGGCTAGCAGCAGTTCACGGGTGTCTAGGTACTTACATAAATTGCCAGGGTCAAAAGGGGCCCATAGAAGTTCTCACTTTTTCAATAAACATTTCGGCTATCAAGAGTTCACAGGAAGGAGAAGAATAATTTATATTGTTAAGACTTAAAAGCACATACATTAATCCTCATACCTACCTGACGATGGCAGGTATCATGGTCTCCATTTTTTAGTATATAACATTTTAAATTTAAGAGCACAGATTCTGCACTCAAACCCTGACTGCGTATTATTAAATGTGTGATCCTGGGCAACTTAACCCCCAAGACTCAGTTTCCTCAGGGCTACAGTGGGTACAGGGTGAGGGTTGAGCTGGGTCATGAATACAGTACCCGGCAAGTTGCTTATACACTAAGTATAAGCTCTCACTATCTGATACAGTTGTAAGAGTTGGGGCTCAGAAGGGTTCAACACTCATTTCCATAGTTAATGAAGCTTGAATTTGAGACTCAGGGTCTAGACATGAGATTTTAGGATACCCTTAATTGCTACAGAATTCTTGAACTCTCTTTTTCAAATAAAGAAGTGGACTCAGAGAGGCACTGGTTGGTTCTGGGGACCCTACAGCTGGTATGAGGTCCCCAGTTTTCCCGAGCCAATGTGGTTTCATCTTGAGTGCCAGGCACTTACGAGATGAGGATGCTCTTGAGGCGGCCCTTGCGGAATATGATGGTGGCATTGCGGCAGCAACGGCTCTCATAGTAGTAGCACTTGATATTACTGCTGGCCGTGCAGCAGCACTTACAGTTGGGATCATTGGCCCAGGAGCAGCAGCACCAGTGGCAGTTGGGGTTCTCTGCGCAGGTACAGTGGCAGAACTGGCAGTTCCGTTCATCCTTGTAAGGGCAAGGGAAGCAGGTGCAGTTCCGTTCCGAGGTGAAGATGAACTTGCAGCACAGGCAGGAGCACAAATGAGGACAACATCTCTGCCACGTACAGCATGGGGAGCAAACACACATAGCAGTCTCCATGATGTCTGTATGATTGCCACCTGGTCCCCAGGGCTCTGGACACCTCCTGTACCAGCGTTCTGCTGTCAATTTTCAATGGAGGGGTCACTCTTCCTCCTGGTGAGGCCTTCAGTTTTGGGGTTGCAGGAAGTTGGCTGTTTATGAGGTCTTCACTGGTGGTGTCCTTACTAGCAGGCCCCTGGTCTGGCTTTTACATATATCTGCATTTGCTTATGTCACAATCCCTGCCTCCCTACCATGTCTCACTGGGAGTGGTGGCACAGCTTAGTTGATGGTCTATGCTGGTGGTGGTGAACCTATGGCACACGTGCCACAGTGGGCTTCTTGTTATCACTGAAAGCTCTAGAAGTTTTGCTGTCATTGGTTTATACTTTCATAGGACCAGCTCCAGAGCAGAGGTGATAAATATGGACCCCGGAGTTTTGCCTGTCACTTGTCACCTGCCAGGTTATGGGGTAGGTTTTATAAGATATTTCTCTTTGCTTAATCCTTTTCCTGGAATTTGGCAAGTTCACTACAGGCTATGTCTTCATTGGCTAAAAGACTGGGGCATGTTTAATGAGAAAAGTGGATTCCCAATGGTTGTCATCTCTGTGGACTTTTTCTGCATTGTTATAACTCTTTATTTGATGGACAAAGCATAGTTCTTACAAATAATAGTCATGTCATATTTAAAGAGATATCACAATTTGGGAAAGGAATTAAAGGAACAGACAGTAGAGGTTCACTTAGGTACTTCTTTCAGTAATCATTGATCTTGCCAATCGTTGCATAGCTACTGTTCATTTTCATGAGACTTCATATGTAGTCACTAAGAGTTATCGTTTGACTTTCTTTTTAGCTTCATGGAGTTTGTCTAAGGCTCAGGTTTTGTTTCCCCTACCTACCCCCACCACTATGTTCTTTTTATCAAGAGGCTAGAACTCTACATAGAATTGATAACTGTTTTATTAGCCTATGCTCAGAACCCCCAGAAAGAAGACACTGTATGGTTAGGGGAGAATTTTACTTTCCTCTGTATGCAGCTTGCAAAGATTAAAAGAGCAGAAACTTCGTGGTCAAACCATACTACAGTACCATCACTCTTATTATTTTTCAAAAAAGCTGAAGTGAGAGCTGAATTTGGCTTCAGAAATTTATTGTGTAAGTTATTATCTTTCCCTGAGAGTATCACTTTTAAAATAGAAAAGAAAATTCACTGAGCACGAATCATGCATGCCAGCCTCACATTATTTTAGGTTTCTACAGTTGAAAATTCTGGATCACAGGATACGCGCTTTACTTTTTTTGATAGATAGTACCAGTTTGTTAGAGATATGCCAGGTTATACTAACACAGTAAAGGGTAAGAAACTCCTTTTCTCATGTGTTTGAGCAAACTCAGTTTTATCAATATTCTCCTCCATCCTGGAGGCACAAATTCGCATTTTATTCCTAGATTCACAACACATTTGCAGCATTTGTCTCTGTAAGCCCCCCTGATTTTGTTTTAAAATTTCTTTACTACAATATAATTCACTTGCCATTAAATGCTCAATTTTAAAGTGAACAATTCATAGTTTTTAGTATATTCATTAAGCTGTGCAGCTATCATCATTGTCTAACTCCGAAGCACTTCCATCACTCTCAGAAGACATCCATCCATTGCTGTCACCCCACTTCCCCTTTGCCTCCCCCTTGAAAACACTCTACTTTCTCTTTTTTATGGATTGACACATTGTAGGTACTTCCTGTAAATGGCACCATATGTGATTTTTGTGTATGGATTCTTTAATTTAGCATCATGTTTTCTGGGTTCATGCTACATGGGCTGGAGCATGTATGAATGTTTCATTTCTTCACCATTAAAAATAAATAATTGCAAGCATTTAGGTACATATTTTTATATGAACACATGTTTTTGGTTCTCTTGGATAGGAGTAGAACTGCTGTATAATGTGGTCGCTCTGTTTAACTTTTTGAATAAATGCCAAACTGTTTTCCAAAGTGGTTACTCAATTTTACATTCCTGCTAGCAAATACAACAGGATTACAATTTTTCCATTTCCTTATTCAATCTTGTCATTGTCGTTTTTACCCTGATTATAACCATCATAGTATATATTAAGTAGGATCCTACTGTGCTTCAGATTTAAATTTCTTTGATGGCTAATGATGTTGAGACTCTTTTCCATGCCTGTTGGCCATCTGTACAGTGCTATAGGATTGTCTGTTAAAATTTAGTTGTCTTTTTATTGTTGAGTTTTAGGAACTCTTTATATAATCTGAATCCTAGGTACCAAATGCATAATTTAAAATTATTTTCTCCATACTCTGGTTTGTCTTTTCATTTTAAATAGTGCCCTTTTGGCTAAAGGTGTAGGGAAAGTGGAAAGGGTAGGAGAAAGGGAATAAGGAAAAAGAAAAAAACGAGAAAATGGAAATAAAGTGGTTGTAAATGGGGAGGGTAGGAGGGGGTGAAGGGAGGGCAGGGACAAGGGGAAAAATGAGAACCAAGACCTGGCATGTAAAGGTACAAGATCCCAGTAATGAATGTAACTGTATTGTATACCTAGAATTGTACCAAAAAGTCAATAAAAAGAAAAAATAAATAAATAGTGCCCTTTTGTAGGATTAAGGGTCTGCAGATGAGAAAATAGAATAGGGGCCTCCTTAGGTCTTCTAGCTAATCCTAACTGGAAAGAATTAAAAATAAAATTTAGTAGAGAAATTTGCCTGGGAAGCAAGTCAGGGAGTGATGGGGTAGACAAAGAGAAAAAAAAAAGAAATCAGATAAAGAAAGGCGCCAAATTCTTGGGACTTACACCAAGAGACCAGAAAAAGAGCTGACAGGAGGGTCACAGCAAGCCAAGTGTACAAACCTCACACAGGAAGAAATGACATTGGGCAGAGGTGCTCAGAAGCCTAACCCGTTATAAGAAGTTCTGAGTGGAGGAGGAAAGGTCAGTCACTCCTATAAAAGCTGCTGCAAACAAAAGCCCCATCCATCTTTCCGGAACCCCTACCCTCACTCTTCCTTATTGGGGTAGCTGTCTTCTCCTTTTCCATCCTTTTCTCTTCCTTTTTACAAATAAAGTGTCTTCCTTTCATTCAACTTTGTCCCTATAAGTTTTCTTTAAAGCAGGGAGAGTTTACTGCCCTGGTGGGCAGCTTGGACAGCGGAGGAGGGGTGCTGGTCTCCCAGATGCAACATCTTTGGTTTCCTGACCAGGAGCCAGATGTGACACTTTGAAACACAAAAGTTTTAAATTTATTCATTTATTTATTGGTATATTTAGGTATACCATACAGTTACATTCATCATTGAAATCTTGTACCTTTACATGATGAATCTTGGTTCTTATTTTTCCCCATTCCTCTTGCCCTCCTGTTACCCCCTGCACCCTTCCCTATTTACAAAGACTTTGTTTCCATTATTTTCCCTTCCTCATATTTTTTCTTTTCCCTTTTGACCTTCCCCCTCCCCCTCCCACTATCCCTACACCTTCAGACCTTTTCTTCAAGAAATCAACCAGTAACAAATGCTGGTGGGGCTGTGGGGAGAAAGGGACCCTTCTCCATTGTTGGTGGGAGTGCAGACTGGTGCAACCACTATGGAAATCAATATGGAGATACTTCAAACAACTAGATTAGAGGTCCTATTTGACTCAGCTATTCCTCTGCTGGGTATCTTCCCAAAAGAATTAAAAGAATCATACCACTGCGATATATGCTCACCCATGTTTATAGCGGCACAGTTTGTAATAGCTAAAACTGAACCAGCCCAATGGCCCATCAACTGGAGACTGGATAAAAAAGATGTGATTTTTAAAAAATAAAACGAAGTATTATTCGGCCATAAAGAACGAGAAACTGGAGATATTTATAGCTAAGTGGATGCACATTGAGGCCATACTCTTAAGTGAAATTAAGAATGAAATTAATGAAATTAAGAAATTAAGAGTGATTTTAGTGATAAACTAAAAGTGTAAATAAGGATCAAAATGTATAATTGATATTGTGTAATAGCAAAAGTTTTAAATTTTGATGAAGTTTAATTAATATCCCCCTTCTCTATTTTTTTTTTTTTTTATTTTGAGGCAGCATCTCCCTTTGTACTTCAGGCTGGCCCTGAACTCACTATGTAGCCTAGGCTGGTCTCAAACTTGTGTCAGTCTTCCAGCCTCAGCCTCCCGAGCTGTCTCTCTATTTTTGTAGCTTGCTTATTTGGTGTCATTTGAAAAGATGCTAACTCATTCAACGTCAGAGTTCATTTCAATAACTTTATAATTTGAGCTTTTACACTTGGGTCATTGATGTGGTTTGAATTAATTTTTATATTTGGTGGGGGCTGTGGGTCCAATTTCATTCTTTTACAGTAAGGTATCCTATTGTTCTGACATCATTTATTAAAAAGATTAGTTTTGAATCCTTTGTTGAAAATATACTGACAGTAAGTGTTTAATATATTACTGGAATCTCAAATCTGTGTCTCTGATCTGCACATCTTTTTTTTTTATTAATTACTAGCCACACTGTTGATTACTGCAGCTACGTTGAAACTGGGTAGTGTGAGTTCTTCACTACAGGTTTTTAAAAAGATGGTCTTGAGTACTTTGCATCCTTCACTTTCCATATTAAGTTTAGATTCAGCTCTCCTGTTTCTGAGCAGTTAATTCAAATCCTGACAAGAATTACACTGAATCTGTAAGTCAGGTTGGGGAGTATTGCCTTTTGACATTAGTAAGTTGTCTAATCAATGAATACATTTTTTTCATTTATTTAGGTCTTCTTCAGTTTAAGCAATATTTTATAGTTTTCAGTGCACAGGTCTTGCACTTCTATGGTTAAATTTATTCTTAAGTATTTTTTCCTTTTTTGCTAGAGTAGGTACAATTGTTTTCTTAACTCTATTTTCAGATGGATCTTTTTATGTAGAAATACAACTGATTTTTCTTTTCTTTTTTTGAGACAGGGTCTCACTATATAGTTGAGACTGACTTGGAACTCACTATGTTGTCTAGGCTGGTCTCGAACTCACAGTGCTCCTCCTGCCTCAGCCTCCCAAGTGCTGGGATTATAGGCATGTGCCACCATGCCCAGCTTTTAAACTGATTTTTCTATATCAACCTTGTATCCTGAACTTTGCTGAACTCCACTTATTAGCTCTAACCTATTCTTATTGAATAATACACACCACACACACACACACACACACACACACACACACACACACAGAGTCTGCCTCAAAAATGTATAGACACTTTGGAAAAAAATTGTATGATTTTTTCAACAGGCGGTGTTACTCTCACATGGGGGACATAGAGGATGTCACATATTACAGAGAACACTACAATGTCAACCCTTGCAGAAGGAATTTGAAATGCAAGTGCAGCAATCTCAGTGACCAAGATTACCCAAGGAGCAGTTCGCCACACTAATCCGTGTCTGGAAGGTAATGACCACCACTTTGAGCACCTCTTATAGTTCTAGAGGCCAAAGGTACCTTGTATTATTCTCATGCTGTCTCAATAAATTTAGTATTAAAATATTTATGCAAGTTTTTCTTTTTCTGAAGTGTGCATACATTTTGGTCCCCCCTTCTTCTCTCCCTCCCTCCCTCTTTCTCCCCCTTTTCCTTTCCAATTTGGGTGCTTTTTTCCCTTGACAAGTTGCTTTGGCTAGATCTTCCCAACAATGTAGACGTTCTTGTGTTGCTCCTAATTTTAATAGAAAAATCTTGAGTCTCTTCACCATTAAGTGTGATATATGATGTGGGTTATTCATAGATTTCCTGTAACAGGAGCAGGAAATTCTATTGCATTCCTAGTTTATTGAGTGTTTTTTTATTGAGTTTATTGGTACATTCTAGGTATACAGTACAGTTACATTCATTACTGGGATCTTGTACCTTTACATGCCAGGTCTTGGTTCTCATTTTTTCCCCTTGTCCCCACCCTCCCTTATTGAGTGTTTTTTTTTAATTATAGGAAGGGTATTAATTTTTTTCAGACACTATTTTCTGAATCTCTCATATGGTTTCCCTCCACCTTTTTGTAGCAATATGGTACATTACATTGACTTTCACATGTTGAGTAAATTTTGTACTTCTAACATAAATTCTACCTGGTTATGATATAGCATAATATTTTGTTTTGATGGTTTATGGTACTGTGGTTTGGAAGTGATTTATTCTCCAAAGATTTGTGTTCTAGGAGCTTGATTCCCGGCGTGGTGGTGTGGAGGTGGTGGAACCTTGAAGAGATGGAGCCTTAGATGAGGTGATTGGGCCATGGGCATCACCCTCAGGAGTGGGTTGAAGTGCTCTTTGGAAGTTCTAGCTCTTATGAGACTAGATTAACATTGGAAGTATAGATTGTTGTACAATGAGGCCAACCCATGTGCTTGGTTACTTCTTCATGTAGCCGGTTCCCTTTCTGCTTCTCTGCACTGTTGTGATGCAGCCAAATTCATCGTCGTAAGCCAAATAAACCTCTTCACTTTATAATGTACCCTGGCTCAAGTATTTCACTACTGCCACACAAAACTAACTCGGATAATTTGCTAGTATTTTCGTAATATATTTACAAGATGTTACCCAGGAGTTTTCTTTTCTTGCAGTGTATTTGCTTGTTTTGGTAATACTGACAAAAATGAGTTAGTAAGTGTTTCCTTCTCTTATACTTTTGGAAGAGCTTGTGGTGGATTGGTGTTAAGTTTATTTTAAAGACTTGACAGAATCCATCAAAATGGAAAATGCCATATACACAAATAAACATGATACACCATATCAACAGAATGAATGACAACTATATGATCATTTCAATAGATGTAGAAAAGACATTTGAAAAAATTTAATTTCCCTTCATGATAAAAACTCTGAACAAATTAGATATAAAATGAACATATCTCAGCATAATAGTGGCCATATTAAGCAATGGCTGGTATCACACTGAATGGGAAAAACTAAAAGCTTTCTGTGGAAAAGCTGTAACATGACAAAGATAGCAACTTCCACATTTTTTGTTCAATATTGTAATGTAGTAGAAATCTTAGCTAGAATAATCAGGTAAAAGAAAGGAATAAAAGGCTTCCAAGAGCCAGGTGTGGTGGTGCATGCCTGTAATCCTAGCACTCGGGAGGCTGAGGCAGGAGGATCGCTGTGAGTTCGAGACCAGCCTGGGCTACATAGTGAGTTCCAGGTCAGCCTCAACTACATAATGAGACCCTATCTCAAAACAAAAACAAACAAACAAACAAAAAGGCATACCCCAGGTCACTCAACTACATAATGAGACCCTATCTCAAAACAAAAACAAACAAACAAACAAAAAGGCATCCAAATTGAAAAAGAGCAATCCAAATTTGCCACTGTTCACAGATGATATGATCTTATACATAGGAAATCCCAAAGACTTTATAAAAAAGCCATCAAGACTAAAAATGAATTCCACAAAATAATAGATTACAAAATCAACATATAGAAATCATTAGCACTTCTATACATCAACATCAAATTGTCAACTAAAAATCAGGAAAGCCTTTTAGGATTCTATTACAATAGTTACAAAGATTAAAGTATCTGGGGATTGATTTAGACTGAGAGGTGAAAGATTTCTGGTATGAGAACTAAAAAACAAGTAAAAGCAATTGAAGAAGATGGAAAAAATGGAAAAGCATTATATGTACCAGAAGACTCAATATTGTTAAAATATTACACAAGGAATTAAAATATTACACAAAGTGATGTATAGATTCAATTTAATTCCTATCAAAATGCCAGTGACATTCCTCATAGAACTAGAAAAAAAATGCTAAAATTTGTATGGAACCATAGAAAACCTGTAGTAGCCAAAGCCATCTTGAGCAAAAATGAAAAGGAGAAGGCATTATACTGTCTGACTTCCAACTATACCATTATACTATTTGACTTCCAAATACATAAAGCTATAACAATAAAAACAATAATGTTGGCTGATGCACACCAATGGAACAGAATAGAGAACCTAGAAGTAAATTATATCACTAAGTAATCTTCAGAAATGTGCTGAGAACATGCATTGGGAAAGGGAAGTCCCTTCAATAAAAGCTGTTGGAAAAATTGTATATCTGTGTACAAAACACCAAAACTGGACCCCAATCTCTAACCAGTTAAAAAAAATCAACTGAATTCAATTAAAGATGTAAGTGTGATTTTGAAGATAAAGATGTAAGTAAAAGTTTGAAACAACTAGAAGCTAACATAGAGCAAATGCTTCAGGAAGTTGTAACAGACAAGGATCTTTTGAACATGACCCAAAAAACATAAGGAACAAAAGCCAAAACAGAGAAATGGGATTATATAACTAAACAGCAGCTGACACAAAGGTAACAATCAGCAGAGTGAAGACACAACTTACAGAATGAGAAAGTGTTTTCAAATGGTATTTCCACATAAGAAGTCAATATGCAAAATATGTGAAGAACCCCCAAGCTCAAAAACCAGTAAACTGTTCTTTAAAACAATGGGAAATTGATCCAAATAGACATTTCTCAAAAGAAGGCATGCAGATGGCCAACAGTTATATAAAAAAAGATGCTCATTAACATTAATCATTAGGGGAAAATGGCCATTTAAAAAAACACAAAAGAGCCAGGTGTGGTGGTGCATGCCTGTAATCCCAGCACTCAGGAGGCTGAGGCAGGAGGATCGCTGTGAGTTCGAGAACAGCCTGGGCTACATAGTGAGTTCCTGATCAGTCTCAACTGCATAGTGAGACCCTGTCTCAGAAAACCGAAAACCACCCAACCAACCAAACAAACAAAAAACCCACCCCCGCAAAAAAAACCCAAAAAATACAAATGTTGACAAGTGCTGATGAGGATGCAGAGAAAAGAAAACCCTTTATATTTTATTTTATATTATATTTTTGATAGAAGAGTAAACTAGTTTAGTCAGTATAGAAAACAATTTGGAGATTCCTAAAAAAATAAAAAATAAAGCTACTGTATGATCTAGCAATCCCACTACTGAATATACAGAGCCCACCAAAAAGTGTATGCATACTTCAGAAAAAGAAAAACTTTTATAAATTTTTAATGCTGCATTTATGTGACAGCATGAGAATTATGCAAGTTACCTTTGCCTGCAGAATTACAAGAGGTGTTCAACATGGTGGCCGTTAGCCTCCAGACATTGATTAGTATGGCAAACTTCTCCTTGGTTAACCTTGGTCACTGAGATTGCTGCACATTCATTTTCAATTTCTTCTCTAAGGGTGGACAGTGTAGTGAGTTTTCTGCAATATATGACATCCTCTAGGGTCCCCCATGTGAGGATAACACCATCTGTTGAAAAAGCATCATACAATGTTTCTTTTCCTGAAGTGCATATACACTGTATATCTAAAGGAAACGACATCAGTATGTTGAAGAGGCATCTGCACTCCCATATTTAATGCAGTACTATTCACAGTTGCCAAAAACTAGGGAAAAAATGAAAAGATAAAAAGAACTGCAAACAGACTCTGAACCAACTGGTTAAGGAATAAACAAAATGTGATACGTGTATGCTATGGAATACTATCCACTCATAAAAACAATGAAATTCTGCATTGCATGACATATGAATAGAATTGGAGGTCATTAAATGAAGTAAGCCAGGCACAGAAAGATAAGTACTGTGTGGTCTCTAATATGGATCACATACAAATTGAGAGTACAGTGGCTGTTATTTTTTAATCTTTATTAAGTTTATCGGTATATTTTAGGTATACAATACAGTTACATACATGATTGGGATCTTGTACCTTTACATGCTATATCTTGGTTCTTATTTTTCCCCATTCCCTAGCCCTCCCTTCAGCCCCTCCACCTTTACCTGTTTACAAAGACATTGTTTCCATGTTTTTCCTTTTCACATATTTTTAATTTTTCCTTTTTACCTTTCCCCTACCCCTCCTACTTCCTCTACTCTTTTAGACCTTTTCTTCCTACTATAGAGTATCAATTATACATTTTGATCCTTATTTATAGTTTTAGTTTTTCACACTAGAAAAACTATTTGGTATATATACATGTGTGACTTACTAATTTCACTTGAGAGCATGGCCTCAATATGCATCCACTTAGCTATAAATATCTCTAGTTTCTCATTCATTATGGCTGAATAGTACTCCATTTTATTTTTAAAAATCATATTTTTTAAAAAATCCAGTCTCCAGTTGATGGGCCATTGGGCTGTTTCCAAGTTTTAGCTATTACAAACTGTGCCACTATAAACATGGGTGAGTTGTGGTATGATTCTTTTAATTATTTTGGGAAGATGCCCAGCAGGGGAATAGCTGGGTCAAATGGGACTTCTAATCCTAGTTGTTTGGGGTATCACCATATTGATTTCCATAGTGATTGCATCAGTCTGCACTCCCAACAACAATGAAGAAGGGTACCTATCTTCCCACACTAGCATTTGTTATTGGTTGATTTCTTTATAGCAGCCATTCTTACTGGGGTGAGGTGGAATCTCAGTGTTGTTTTCATCTGCATCTCTTGAATGACCAGTGATGTTGAACTTTTTTTATATATATTTATTTGCTTCTTTTACTTCTTTGTCTGAGAAATGCCTATTTTAGATGCCCATTATTAATGGGGTTTTTATGTTTGGGGGGGTCTGATTTTTTTGAGATTTTTATATAATAGAGATAGTAGACATTTGTCTGAGGAACAGCTGGTAAAAATTTTTTCCATATTGTTGGTTGTCTCTTAGCTCTGCTCGTAATTTCTCTGGCAGTGCAGAAACTTTAAAAAGATGAGATCCCAATTGCTGATTCTTTGTGCTAGTTTCTGTGCTACTGAGGATTTGTTCATAACATAATTTCCCATGCCAGTATCTTCAGGAGTTCTACCTAACTTATCTTCCAGCAAGTTTAGTATTTCTGCTTTAATATTTATATCTTTAATCCACTTGGATTTTCATTTAGTGCATGGTGAAAAATACAGGTCTAGTTTTAATATTTGACAAGTTGAAATACAGTTTATCCAACACCATTATTACAGAGGGTATCTTTCCTCCAGTGAGGGTGTTTGGCTCCTTTGTTAAAGATGAGGTAGTTGACTAAGTCAGTTGTTTCTGCATCTTCTAATCTATTCCACTGATCCTTGGGTCTGTTTCTTTGCCAGTACCATGCTGTTTTTAATCACAGTAGCTTAGTACTATAGTTTCAAGTTGGGGATTGTTATCCCCCTTGCCATATCTTTGTTGCCTAGAATTGCTTTTGCTATTCCAGGGGTCTTCTGATTCCAGATGAATTTTTGGATTGTTTTTTAGTTCTGTGAAATATACTGTTGGGATTTCAATAGGGATTGCACTGAATCTATATAGCAGTTTTGGAAGTATGGACATTTTCACTATGTTGATTCTACTTATCGTGGAACAAAGGATGTCTTTCCATTTTCTTATATCCTCTTCAATCTTTTTTCAGAGTGTTGTAGTTCCCAATGTA